TTTCTCTCTTTCTTCTCAAATTTCTTCGCCGTCAGACCCAATAACCCGTTAACCCGACCCGGGAAAAACCTCAAAGGTTCCGACTTTGATTTTTCAACACTAAAGACACTGAAAACCCAAAAAAGATGATGACTTCACTACAATGACCCGTACCGAAACAAACCGGAGCCGGAGCTCCAATTCCAATTCCGAGAATTCCGGCGACGGTAACGGCGGAGGAGGTGAAAGAACCAACGCGATGAGGGTTATCGTTCCGTTACAAGGCGTTGTTCAAGGTCGTGGTGGTTTAGTCTTGGGCTCTGTAATTCCTTGTGCTTTCTTCTACTTTCTCCAGTTTTACCTAAAACGTAATCGGAAAAACGATTCCGATTCCGGTGACCAAAACTCCGCTTCGTCTTCAACGAATTCGGATTCTAATTCCGGTTTGCCAGATCGGACCCGGTCACAATCCGCTGGTCATCTCACGGAGCTTACTGGCTTACCTCGCTCTCTCTCTCGGATTCTCCTCTCGCCGAGAAACTCCGTCTCGGTTTCGTCTCGAGCTAATTGCGTAATCAAAGGTGGAGATTCGCCGTACTATTTGGGTCAAAAACGGGTCAAGGAAGATCCGTATGATGAGTCGGGTAACCCGGACGGAGTTATCGAACTTGGTCTAGCTCAGAACAATCATAAGGTTTAAATCAAATTCTCACTTGTTTTGTGATTTTTGTTGGTTTTTGATTGTCTTATTTGTTCTAATAGTTGAGCTTTGAGGATGATTTGGTTTCGGAGAATCCAAAGGAAGAAGCAATTTCAGATGGATTGAGTATTAGTGGCATTGCTTCTTATGAGCCTTGTGATGGACTTATGGAACTGAAAATGGTAAAGCTCTCAACTTTTTCATCAATGGTGATGTGTACATTGGAGTGTTTTGAGATAACTTTGAGTCTTCTTGAGATGTTTAGATGTCTTTTGTTTTGAGGATCTTGATGTGTTCTTAAAAGAAGTTTGTTGTGGATTATGATAGGCTGTGGCAGGATTCATGTCTGAAGCAACCAAAAACTCGGTTTCTTTCGATCCATCACAGTTGGTGTTAACCTCGGGTGCAGCGTCCGCGATTGAGATTCTTTCCTTCTGCTTAGCTGATTCCGGAAACGCCTTTCTTGTTCCAACTCCGTGTTCCCCCGGGTAAAACTCTTAGTTCTTAACTCTGTACTGTTTGACTGGATAATGCGATGAGGAAGGAAACATTGATTATTTGACACAGGACAAATAATTTTCGTTGTGCAGATATGATAGGGATGTTAAATGGCGAACAGGAGTGGAAATTATACACGTTCCTTGTAGAAGCGCGGATAATTTCAATATCTCCATGGTCGTGCTTGATCGAGCGTTCTATCAAGCCAAGAAGCGTGGTGTTAGAATCCGTGGCATCATAATCTCTAACCCTTCAAATCCCATGGGAAGTTTATTGAGCAGAGAGAATCTCTATGCTATTTTGGACTTTGCCCGCGAGAGGAACATTCATATAATCTCAAACGAAATCTTTGCTGGGTCAGTCCACGAAGAAGAAGGAGAGTTTGTTAGCATGGCTGAAATAGTTGACACAGAAGAGAATATCGACAGAGAAAGAGTTCATATCGTGTATGACCTCTCGAAAGACTTATCTTTCCCAGGACTTAGATCCGCTGCTATCTACTCATCCAACGAGAGTGTTTTGTCCGCTTCAAGAAAGCTCACAACGCTCTCACCTGTCTCATCTCCAACCCAACATTTGCTCATCTCCGCAATCTCCAATCCAAAGTTTGTTCAGAGATTTGTGAAAACCAACAGGCAGAGATTGCAGGGGGTCTACACAGAACTCGTGAAAGGATTGAAAGAATTAGGTATCGAGTGCACGAGAAGCAATGGAGGGTTCTTCTGTTGGGCAGATATGCATGGATTGATTTCGGCTTACAGCGAAAAAGGCGAGATTGAACTGTGGAACAAGCTCTTGAACATTGGCAAGATCAATGTAATACCAGGATCTTGTTGTCATTGTATCGAACCAGGATGGTTCCGGTTCTGTTTCAGTAATTTGTCTGAGAGAGATGTGCCTGTAGTACTGAACCGCATTAGGAAAGTTTGTGAAACTTGTAAATCTCATAATTGATTTATGCTATTTCATTATTGGTTTTGTTCTGATAAATTGTGCACTATTACCAACAAAACCGACAAAAGAATCGATCTTTTTTATTTCCTCCGGTGAAAGAATACAAATTTTACTGAAAAGTTAAGCCTAAACCGGAAAATCCCAACCACAAAAGAATGAACTAACCACTGCACAAATTCTCTGCAAAGTCTAAACCAACAGTGTCATGATCCCATTCCATTTCTGATCAATTCAAGAACCTGCACAACCTCTGCCATGCTTGGTCTCTTCGATGGATTCTCCATCGTGCAAATCAAACCTAACTTCATGACTTGAATCAGCTCATTCTCTTCAAACCCTCTCAATCTTCTGTCAAAACAATCAGAAGCCGAACCCGTCTCCAACATATCCCTCACATGATCCCTTAAGATCAAAACCTCGTTTTCGGACGGGGACTCTACCGGTTTTCTACCTGTAACAAGCTCAAGAAGAACCACACCAAAGCTATAAACATCACATTTGTCACTCACTCTCAAACTCTGAGCTAACTCTGGAGCTATGTAACCAACTGCATTGTGGAACTTGGTCAAGCCAAAGCTGTTCAAAACCGGAAGAAACTTTACCAAACCGTAATCCGATAGCTTTGCCTCGTATCTTTCGTCAAGAAGTATGTTTGTAGACTTTACATTGAGATGAAGAATCGCAGGTTTACAATCATTGTGAAGAAAAGAAAGCGCCTTTGCAGTTCCTAACGCGATTTGAAATCTTCTATGCCAATTCAACTCGGTGTTTCCATGACTGCTGCTACTGCTAGTTCTATGGAAGATTCTTGGGTGTAGATTATCGTAAAGGCTTCCGTTTGGGACAAATTCCGAAAGAATTAACTGCATTGTCGATGAAAAGTAGTAACCTTGAAAAGAAGCAAGATTCGGGTGACTTAAACCTCCAAGCCTACCGATTTCTTGCTCGAACTCTTCTTGGCTTTCAATTCTTCCTAAAGTCTCGAGCTTTTTCACCGCAATGGAAACCCCGCCTTCAAAAGAAGCTCTATAGACCATTCCAACCGATCCAATCCCGATTATATTATCCTTGTCAAGCAAAGCTTTCGTACCTGCCTCCCAATCTTCATACTTTGAAGGTAAACTCTTGCTGAATAGAACAAGTTTCCCGAATGTCATACCGCCATTACCAGATTCGGTTGAAGCCACCGTTGTTGTTGTGGTATCAAAAGCAACTATTTCTTCTACGTGCTTTTTGCGTCTTTTACGAGCTCTAAGGTTCAAAACAAGCACTAGACAGATACCAACCAAGATCACAGCAGCAGCAACAATGACAATGATGACAGAGGTGCTGAGAGCTTTGGTTTTTCTTGATCTTGATCCGGTTTTGAGAGAATTGCACAATGTTTCGAGAGGATCACCGCAGAGGAAAGGGTTGTTGGAAAACGAAGAAGCTCCCGAAGCTTGGATCTTTGGGATTACGCCGGAGAGGTTGTTGTAAGAAACATTGAAATGTGTCAGTCTATTCAAACTCCCGAGGGAAGACGGAATAGGACCTGAAAGCAAATTCTCTGAAAGATCAAGGAACTGGATCTTCGAGAGGTTCCCGATACTAGGCGGAATACTTCCATTGATTCTGTTCCGATGCAGATCAAGAATCTCTAAGTTTGTTAAGTTGAATAGGTTCTTAGGGATCTCTCCTTCTAAAGCATTTCCAGATACATCTCTGCATCAAACAAGAAAGATAAACAAAACAACACAAAAAGTCTCGAAAGCTCGCTAAATATCGGAACAAAAGAGACTGAAAGACTCACAGTTCAAGAAGTAGTCTGCAATTGGATATATCCTCTGGAATTTCACCAATGAGATTGAGATTATGCAAATTCAAAACCTGTAGAAACTCAAGATTCCCGAGATCTCGTGGAAGCTTCCCGTCTATAGAGTTATCGCCTAATCTGATCACAGAGAGCTTCTCCATCTTCCCAATACCTACAGGTACATTCCCATTGAGTCTATTCGATTCCAAGTCCAAAAGCTTAAGACTTTTGCATCCGGTTATACCGTTAGGTACATTACCAGTCAACTCATTCGAAGAAGCATCTAAAAACTCTAAACTTTCGCTACAACCAACGATCTCACCAGTCACCCCTTTAAACCGGTTTCCAGACACATTGAAATACGTCATGTTCTTGAATCCAAGAACCTCGAAAGACGCTAATCCGTCAAAAGAATTGCTTCCTATATCGAAATGGCTCAATCTATTGCATTTCGATATCTCTTTAAACACATCACCAGACAACACATTTCTTCTCACAGATACAAACTCAAGAACCGGAATATCGCATATCCGAGGCAAGAAACCGGTAATGCTATTATACGAAAAATCGAAACCTACGAGATTGTTACAGTTTGTAATTGATTCCGGGATTGATCCAGAGAGATTGTTGTGAGACAGAGAAACAAACTTGGTCTTATAACAGAATTTAAACAGAGAAATCGGAATCTCTCGAACGAAACCATTTTTCGACAAATCCAAGAACCTTAAATTAGGCAAGTCACCGATAAATTCCGGAATCAAACCAGACAATGCATTTGAACTAACGTTGATCTTCCATAAAGTCTGTAACTTTGAGTAATCCAAAGGTAAATTACCTGTAAACCTGTTGCCAAACAGAGTTAAAACCCTTAAAGAAGTTAAACCGGACAATGCCGGAGATAAAGTTCCGGCGAGACTTGTATTCCAAAGGACGATCTTGTCGACGAATCCTTCTTGGTTACAAGATACACCATTGAAGCTATTACAGAGATCTTCTTCTTCATTTGAGACCCAAGAAGCTAAACTGTTGTAAGGATCTTCGTTGATCTTGTCTTTGAATTGAAGCAGAATCTCTCGTTCGGTAATAGAATCCGAGAAGCTCGGAGACATTGTAATAATAATGAAAAGCATCCAAATCAAGAACCTTGACTGCATTGTCGGTTCTCGGATCCTAAACCGAACCCAAACCCGGTTTAAGAAACTCAGTCCCTATTTCATTTGCTTCATGGTTTTCAAGAATCAAGATGATCAAGAAACAGAGAACAAGATCTGTGTTTTATGAGTTTCCGAACCAAATCAAACTCATAGAGAGAGAAGATGAGTGAGTGGAGAGTGTGCCTTGGCTGGAAAGTAAGCAGGTGAAGCAATTTAATACAGTCTCTCACTCTCTCTCTTCTGCAAAAGGTTTTATTTTGTTTTCTCTCTCTAGGAAACTGTACATCTGTGGCTTCCACCATGTGAACAAGAACCACGTGCAAGCTTGTGCC